ATCGATCACTCCTGCCCCAGACCCAAACCTAGACCTAACTCGCAAACGCATTTCACCTCCCTGGTACGCACTTTTCCAGTTGCTACAGTCACAAGCCATGACCCCAGCCTCGCCGTACTCCCTAGTCCACTCCACGACACTTCTTCTGTGTCGGCCCAGCCATTGCTCCAACCTTATTCCCGACACCCTCACATACACCTTTCTCCATTTATGCATGCCCTAGTTCCAACAGCTCCGAACCCCCTAATTCCAGTAGCTCCGAACCCCCCAGTTCCAGCACCTTCGAACCACCAGTTCCAGCAACTTCGCAATCTTTCACTCCTGCCCCTGTTCCTCATATGCGCACCCACCTTCAAGATGGTATTCAAAGCCCAAGCTTCATACCAACAACACTGTTAAATACCCCCTTCTTTGTGCCTTATTAACTGTTGTTGGTCATACTGAACCTACTTGTTTTTCACATGCCACTAAGCATCCTGAATGGTGTGACTCAATGATTGAAGAGATAAATGCACTTCTCAAAAATCATACATGCTTTTTGGTTCCTTCCTCTCCTTCTCAGAACTTGGTTAGGTGCAAGTAGGTTTTTGGGATTAAGCGTCACTATGACGACTCCATTGAACGCTACAAAGCTCATCTAGTTGCCACGGGTTTTCACCAACGTCCGGGCATAGACTATGCTGAAACCTTCAGTCATGTTGTCAATCCTTCCACCATTGTCACTGTTCTCAGTCTTGCAATTTCTCGTGGTTAGTCCATTCGTCAACTTGATGTCAAAAATGCCTTTCTTCATGGGTTTCTTCAAGAAGATGTCTACATGGCTCAACCCTCTGGTTTCATTAATCTCACTCGTCCTTCTTATATTTCAAGCTCCACAAAGCACTCTATGGCCTCAAACAAGCAACTTGTGCTTGGTTCCATCGCATCGGTACTTTTCATCACTCTATAGGCTAAACGGAGCCAAGCTAACACTTCATTATTTATTTTTCAATAGGCCTCCCATACCATCTTTCTTCTTCTATATGTCAACGACATCGTGGTAACTGGTAATGATTCCACTCATCTCCGACAATTCATCTCTTTTTCATATGGCCACTTTGACAGCAAAGACCTTAGTCTGCTCAGCTATTTCTTAGGTTTACAAGTTCTTCATAAGGATGGTACTCTCCACATCATTCAACTCAAATATGCACATGAACTTTTACAGAAAGCCAATCTTCTCAACTCCAAACCCACATCTACTCTATTGGCTGCCAAGGTTCTCCTTTCTGTCTTTGATGGTGCTCTCATTTTTAATCCAACCAAGTATCGCGTGCTTGTTGCCAATTTATAGTATTTCACTCTTACTTGCCCTCACATATCTTTTTCCATCAACGCTGCTACTCAGTTCATAAGTGCCCCTCGCACTCATCACCTTGTTGCCACCAAACGGATACCTTACATCAAGGGCACTATTGATCTCAGCCTCACCTTCACTCTTCAAACTGCCGCAGCTCACCTCATCTCTTACTTTGATGTTGGGTGCCCTGATTCTTGTCGATCGACCACTGGATATGTGATTACTCTTGGAACTAACCTCATCTCATGATGTTCCAAGAAACAGTACACAATCTTGCGCTCTAGTACAGAATCGGAATATTATGCCCTCTCTCATGCTTGTGCTGAAACCACTTGGCTCTGCTTCTTTCTTCATGAATTGAGTGTGTGTTTTCGGTTCCCGAACCAACTCTTTTGTGACAATCTCAACACCACGTGCATGGCTGCCAATCAAGTTTTCCATGCCCGCACACGTCACATTGAATTGGACTATCACTTTGTCCGTGAAAAGGTTGCTCTTGGAAGTCATCAAGTTTGCTTTGTTCCTTCTGTCGACCAACCCACGGACCTGTTTACCAAAGCCCTTCACAAACCACGCCATCAGCATATGTCTTCCAAACTTTTGCATCCTGTGACGCCCAGTTTGCAGGAGGGTGTTAATGCATCTTTCCTTTCCTAGCACACACACAAGTCAACTTCACAATCTCCTCCTAGCAATTAGCATTTCCTGCTGTAAATCGGATTGTATTCATGTCTATATTATTTTCTACCTTAAGTAGATATCTTGTATCAATATAAATAGGGACTTTATGTAATCTGTTTAATACAAGGAAATATATTTTCTACAAAAATATATAGCAGATTACCTCATAACTTGTGTATTGTGTGATGATACTTCTTTCATTAGATGTCACAAGAAATCTAAGAGAGAGTATAATAACTGCCTAATTACAATTTATTCATTTTAATTGTTTAGCCAACTAACCTGCATACTTTCCTTTTTTATGGTACTCTCTGAATCTGTTGTATCTTGCCATTGAAGTTGGAATTTCTGCGTTTTTGGTACGTATCTATGTAGCTTAAGGCTTTTCCTCTGCATAAACAAGGAAGAATACAATGCAATAATAGCTGCAAGGTTCTAGCAAAAGTGGCTTTAGATTTGCTCTGCTTTTGATCTACAAAAAAAACTTGTACTTGGTATTTGGTAAAAGGCATAAGAAACACCTAAACATAGTATAACAATACATAAATTTAATAACCGGTTTATGATATACTTATCCTGAAGACATATCATTCAGATTTTGCAGAAGGAATTTGTTGGACAAGAACTGCAGAAAGGCAAACATCTCGAATGCTGAGAATAGAATACTTGAAATCAGTCCTCAGGCAAGATGTTGGTTACTTTGATAACCAAGATGCTGCTTCCACTACCTTCCAAGTCATTTCTACCATCTCTTCTGATGCACATTTGATCCAAGACACTATAGCTGAGAAGGTTTTCAATCCCTTCTCTTTCTGATTGTGTGTGTGCAAGTGTGCTTGTTTCCCTCCTGCCCTTACTCTTTTGTGCTGACATCACCTATATTTCCTTTTTTTATAGATTCCCAACTGTCTGGCTCAGTTATCATCCTTTTTCATTAGCCTGGGAGTTGCATCCGTTTATTCATATGTTGGGGAGCGTCAAACACTAGATAGATTCAGTAGTGCCCTTCAGAAAAGTATGGAGCTTGGTGTAAAGCAGAGTTTGATAAAGGGAATGCTGATAGGGAGCATGGGAATGGTTTATGCTAATTGGGCTTTCCAGGCTTGGATTGTTAGCATAATCATTATTGAGAGAGGAGAACAAGGTGACCTTATTTTCGCTTGCGGAATCTGTGTCATCTGGGGAGGACTGTGAGTTTCTTTTCTTTTTGCTGAATTTCTTTACTTTGTCATCTTTTAATTCATCAGAAATCACAAGTCTTTGTATCTTCAGGTTCATCATGAATGTGCTCCCAAATCTCTCTTTCATTTTGGAGGCAACAAGTGTTATTGCTCGGATGTTACAGATGATTGAACGAGATCCTGCTATAGACACTCGAAAGAGAGGAAAAGTTTTAGGACATGGCAAAGGAAAAGTGGAGTTCAAATAGGAGTACTTTAGTTATCTATCGAGAACTGATACCCCCGTTCTTCAAGGACTCAATCTTACCATACTGGCTGGAAAAACTGTAGGTTTTGTTGGAGGCAGTCATTCTGGAAAATCTACAATCATTTCAATACTCGAAAGATTTTATGACCCTAACAAAGGGAAAATTCTGCTTGATGGATATGACATAAAGAGACTTCAGCTTAAATGGTTGAGATTCCAGATGGGACTTGCTAATCAAGAACCAGTTCTCTTTGCAACATCTATAAAAGAAAACATTTTATTTGGAAAAGAAGGAGCTGCAATGGAGCATGTGATAAGTGCAGCTAAGACAGCAAATGCACATGACTTCATCGTTAAGTTACCTGATGGATATGATACTCAAGTAAGACAAATTTTTTTAGTCCTTTAAATCAATACATTATCTGATTACAGTTACTAATTTTGACTAGTGTTGCTTTAGGTGGGCCAATTTGGAGTTCAGTTGTCTGGAGGGCAAAAGCAAAGGGTTGCTATAGCAAGGGCACTGCTTAGAAATCCAAGAATCCTCCTGCTTGATGAAGCCACAAGCGCTTTGGATGCACAATCTGAAAGTATAGTGCAGGAAACACTAGACCATGCTTCGATCGGAAGGACAACACTTATTGTTGCTCATTGGCTTTCCACAATTTGCAAAGCGGATTTGATAGTGGTTCTTCAATCTGGGAAAGTAATTGAGTCAGACTCCCATGAGGAGTTGATGCATATGAAAAACGGAGAAGGTGAAGAAGGGGTGCATACAGCAAAATGGTGCACTTGCAGCAATTAGCCATGCAAAATGAAGCACTGAATGGCCCCAGACATCCAGCCGAAGATATAAGCCACCTAAAAATGATGACCAGTGTAAGACCTTCACCAATTAGCATAAGACCTTCACCAATCAGCATAAGATCAAGCTGGCAAAACAGCCCATCCCACCAATTCAGCTCAGTATATTCCTTAAGCGTTGCAGATATTTCCCAAATGCACCTTTATGGTAACTTCAACTATGTAAAGCAAGAAAATACTTCTAATCCTCCTCCATCCCAATTGCGTTTGTATCAAATGAATGCACCTGAGTGGAAGCAAGCATTACTTGGGTGTCTAGGTGCTGCTGGCTTTGGAGCTATACAGGCATTTCACTCCTATTGCATGGGATCAATTGCCTCAGTTTACTTCCAAAAAGAATTTCAGGGAATCTAAAGTAAGAAGGGCAGCAAGTCTTGCCAATGCTTATGAATTTATAAGGTACTAACATATATATCTTCCTTTCTTATTGAAACTGAGGCACACAAATTTTTTTTAACTTTTATTTGTTCTTTAACAAGGCATAGTCTATATATAATCCAGTGGTATGAAAGATGGATATCAAACTTAATGTGGAGAAAGAGGGGTGCAACTCTCAGGGGCTCAAAAGCATAGAATAGCACTTGCTCGAGCGATACTCAAGAACCTGAGAATTCTCCTATTAGATGAAGCAACCAGTGCTCTCGATAGCGTATTGGAGACTCTAGTCCAGGAAGCACTTGACAAGATGATGGCTGGTAGAACATGTGTAGTGGTAGCTCATTGGCTGTCCACGATACAAAAGGCAGACTCCATTTCTGTGATAGAGAATGGAAAGGTTGTGGAACAAGGTTCACACAATGAGCTACTTGCCATTGGACGTGGAGGAGCATATTTATTCAGCTTCAAAACAGCCCCTCTGCTTAACAGCTGAGTTTTTACTCCACTCACAGAAATGGAAATGGCATAGGAGATAGATTTAATATGTAACGCTTCAAGGAAGGAATGGTATGTTTCAATAAGAAGTAAAGGGGCATGACCAACCTGGAAAGGTTGAAACAAACGACCTGTCGTTGGACAACATGTTTATATATTGTTTTGATGATGCCTTTTCTTTTTTTAAGTCAGCAAAACTCCTTTGGGATGAGCCTGAAAATATACAAGCAGATGCTAGCAAAATCTAAGATGCGTTCTTTTTTTTTGCACCAAAATCTGAGATGCGTTTTTTTTTTAGCCAATCATTAACTCAAAATGTGTTCAAGGACAAGGGGCATACTTCCAACAGCACAATCTAGTAAGTTTGGCTCAGAGTTGATGATGAAACTTAAGAATCAAAATTGAGTTCCACATAATCTACTCACACGTGTCAAATTAATATGCATCTCAAAGATTCACCCAGGCCGGTTGATGACACATGTTTGAAGAATTTTCCTTTGACTTTTTGGCCTGACATGTTTGAAGAATTAAAAAAACTAAGAAAAGACAAAAAGATTTTGTCATGTCATATTTCCCAATGTTGCATGAAGGCAAGAGGAATGCCAAGAAAACCAGAAACATAGACAGTTGGAATTTATGGAAACCAACATTTCGACAAGTCCTTAGTAATCAAACAAAATGCCGACTTATTCTAAAACGTGCATTAAGTTATTAGCTATATATGATCCATTTGGTATCAGTGAAGTTGAAAATGTCATAAAATACAACAAGGGAAGGCCACCTCTAGTAAGTTATCTTATCTCTTAACCATGGTTTTTTTGTTTTTCGTTTTTGGGTTACTAACTAAGCCAGCCACTAAGCTATCTCATCTCTTAAACAATGTGAATTTTATTGCTATTAATTTGCAAGTGATTGGTGTGATTTGTATTCTGTAGCTTGTAAGATGAGGAAGAAGGGAGGGCTTTTCAAGTATGCAGATGGTGTGGACAAGTTGCTGATGGTGTTTGGGACTTTGGGCAGCATTGGAGATGGGTTGATGACACCTCTTACAATGCTTGTTCTCAGCCGTGTGATCAATGAATATGGAGGTGGACAAGGCACTCTTACTTTCTCCAATGCCATTGTCGACAAGGTTAATTTGCTAGTTTTATCAAACTGTCCTGTCCTCAGACTATGAATTTTGGTTGGTTTATATATTTCCATTTTGTATGGCCAAGGCTAACAAGGTGCCAACTCGTTTTCTTTGATTCACAGTACTCACTCAGGCTGCTCATTGTTGCAATTGGAGTTGGAGTATCTGCTTTCATTGGTATTATGTCAACTTTAAATTTCTATTTTTGTTTCTCTTTCAGGGGTTGTTTGGTGCTTCGGTTTCTTTAGTATCTACAAACATGATAGGCTTCTAGAGCTCTGAACCTGCAACACTGGGTTTTCTGGTTTTAGAGTTGTCAAATCATCTTGAGTGAACATAATCTGCAGACTATATATTATATACACACTTGAGTGTCATGAGTTGAAGAACCACATACCATTTCCAGTGATGCTTATTATATATACTTGTCAACATTGGTAACTTGCAGAAGGAATTTGTTGGACCAGAACTGCTGAGAGACAGACATCTCGGATGAGAACGGAATACTTAAAGTCAGTCCTCAGGCAAGAAGTTGCCTTCTTTGACAGTCAAGCTAATTCTTCCATGACCTTCCAAGTCATTTCTACTATCTCGTCTGATGCCCATTTAATCCAAGACACAATAGCTGAAAAGGTTTTCAATTGCCTTTGGCGCCTTGTTCTTCTTCTTTCTTCTTCATTTTGTAAACATGTATTGATCACCTGTATTTCTCCTTTTATGTAGATACCGAACTGCCTGGCTCACCTCTCATCATTCCTCTTCTGCTTTCCTGTTGCCTTCGTGCTTTCTTGGCGGCTGGCACTGGCTGCTCTTCCGTTCTCGCTCATGTTTTTGATTCCTGGAATTGGATTTGGGAAGGTGCTCAAGGACTTGGGAGCTGAGACAAACGGTGCCTATAGGGTTGCTGGAGGGATTGCGGAACAAGCAATCTCATCAATCCGTACAGTTTATTCGTATGTTGGGGAAAATCAAACACTAAAAAAGTTCAGCATTGCTCTTGAAAAAAGTACAGAGCTCGGCATAAAACAAGGTTTCACAAAGGGACTGCTCATAGGGAGCATGGGAATGATTTATGCTGTTTGGGCTTTTCAGGCTTGGGTTGGTAGCAAACTTGTTACTGAGAGAGGAGAAAAAGGTGGTCTTGTTTTTATTTCTGGAATCTGTGTAATTCTGGGAGGATTGTAAGTTACTTTTCTTTATACTTCTTTTCTATATGCAACCACATGTCTATCACTTCAGGTATATAAACATATCAGAATATATCAGTATATGCATACGTGTTTGAACTTATGTATGTCATTTGATATGAACTGCATTCAATTACCTTGATGTTTCTTGTGTGTTATAAGACTCTTGTAAGAAC